AGGAATATGACTATGCGTATACCAAGGCATTAAATCAAGGTCATTGCTATCATAATTTAATATGAGGCATGTTTATTGGCCCTCCCAATGTGGGTAAATCTTCTGTTAGAAAAGTATTTATTCAACAAGTATTAATCATTAATCAATCTCCTACACAAGTGGTTGAGAATTCTGATTTCATGGTGGAGACTGAATAGTATGGTATTCATAATTGAAAGAGTTGTGACTGGACTGAGGTAGTAGACGATAAAGTCAAAACAAGCATCGATAGTCAAGAGAATATCAATCAGTAAATTACCCGTGTGCATCCAATACATCGACCCGTTTTAACAGATAACCTACCATTGCCAAATTTACAAAAAAGACAATGTGCAATCTCCTATAGTTGGTAATGCTACAAAAGAAGTAGCCATACCATTGAAAGAGATTGAAATCAAATCAGCGTCTAAACTCGCCTTAACTCAATATTACTGTTCGTCTATCATCGATCAAAGAACCAATAAACGTAATAATAATCAATATGTTAAAATATGGAATTTCGGTGGTCATGCCATCTATCATGTTAATCATTCTCCATTGATCTCTGCTAATAGTATTTATATTGTAGTCTTTAATATGAATCAAGACATTAATGACAAGGTATGAACAAGACAGAACGAATCACTGAACATGACTTATTTACAAGCTATGCAAGAATGGCTTACGCCGACCATAGGTAGCCATAGAAGGCAAAGTACAATAAATGTAAACTTTAATAGCGAAGATGAACAGTATTCATTACTTATTATTATTTCTAGTAGCTTCTTATAGCGATTGTATTACAAAACAAGAAGATTGAAAAACTCCATTTAATCAATTTGTATCGGGTCACATAGGGACCAATAGTTGTCAGTGTCGCATATGGACTACTAAAGAGTAAAGCGCGACATAGCCACAGGCGTCAACTGGGATTTTTAGCCAAGCAAGCTTCATGGTTATCAATAGCGCCCTTCCTCATGCAGGACTTTTGCAAGGAGTACTTATAGGTATGAAATAACCAATGAATTAGTAGTCTGTAATCGCTGATAAGTGCGTGTATTTAGTGTATATGCACTTGGATAGAGCTGTTTAGCCGAGTAGAGTTTTATTTCACCTGTCCTCCTCTTTTATCCACTAGCTCCTGTTTGCAATAAGCAGTGCGCAGTCGGATTGATAGGATTAAATCTACATCACAGCAAAATCATCAAGTTGTTCTATTAGCCGATTTTTAAAACATCCATTGGTAAGTGACCTATTCCGTTTAGGTATCCATCATTATACATTGTATTTCAAGTAAAAATAGAAATTATAGATAGGTAAACGACTCCAACGAAACTATATTACAAGCATCCTTTCTTATTTTGCACTATCATTGATGTGGCTAGCATTCATTTGCTGTTGTCTATCAGGATAAAACGATTGTTGTTTGACGGTTATTATGATTATGAGTATAATGTATTTGTAAGCTGGAGTGCATTTTATTAATGTACACGTAAATTAGTCTACTCCTTGGATTTAGTTTGGTATTGATTGATGTCAGCACACGATTGTCCGATAGCGTTGTCTTCAGTAATTATCTACAGAGATTGATTGAATGATTTTCGGATAATCTTCCATGCGGAATTGATAGACGACATTGTAGAAGTTGATTTATTGATACTTGAAAATTGTGTATAATGGAATAATTGATGTTGTTCTGTTGAACTACGACTAGCACGTAAGTACAACCATTCCGACATAACCTCATTAATACGCAGAGATAATATCGATCCGATGATTAGTCATTAATGGTTGCAACGAAGCTTGATTTCAATCTTATTTGTCTCTAACCTGTCGTTCAAGTCTTTAACTAACATACTATTGAATTGAGTGAAGGGAAAGATGGCTGATGATGAATCTGTCTGTTCTACGAGTATGCTTCCTCACCATACCCGTATACAATCACTGTACGAAAAGGGTAACTCATTCAAGACTGCCTTCCAGTTGGTGGACGGACTATCTTGTTATACACAAGCTGTCGATGAGATTGCTTCGTTGTCGAATCCTAGTGCGGATATTGATCGACTTGCATGCGATATTTATCTTGGTCTTTGTGATATTTACACTTTACAATTTAAATTCATGAAAGCTGTTGAATGGAGTAAAAAGGGACAAACTGTGGCTACTAAACTGCAAGATGAAGTGAGCATGGCTCAATGCTTACTAAGAGAAAGCGAGATTAAGAGATACCAAGAGGATTACAACGGAGCACTGCAAGACGGTAAGAAATCGTTGGAAATGAAATTAAAATGGTTAAACGAAAAGGATGCTCGTCTTGCCGATAGTTATCATCAAATTGGGCGACTCTACTGGGACTTGTGCAAGTACGATCAGGCTCTAGATATGCATAACAAGTCACTACAAATTGGATTGTCAGTTCTTGGTCACAATCATCCCCATGTTGCAAAGTCATATCACAACATAGGAGTTGTCTATCATGACCAAGGCAAGTACGATCAGGCTCTGGATATGTATGACAAGTCACTGCAAATTGGATTGTCAGTCCTAGGTCACAATCATCCCGATGTTGCGTGGTCATACAATAACATAGGAGTTGTCTATAGAAGCTAAGGCAAGTACGATCAGGCTCTGGATATGTATTACAAGTCACTGCAAATTGGATTGTCCGTCCTTGGTCACAATCATCCCGATGCTGCGCGGTCATATGGTAGCATAGGAGTTGTCTATTTTGACTTGGGCAAGTACGATCTGGCTCTGAATATGTATGACAAGTCACTGCAAATTGGATTGTCAGTCCTTGGTCACAATCATCCCCATGTTGCGAAGTCATATCACAACATAGGACTTGTCTATCATCGCCAAGGCAAGTACGATCAGGCTCTGGATATGTATGAGAAGTCAATTGGATTGTCAGTCCTTGGTCACAATCATCCCGATGTTGCGCGGTCATATAACAGCATAGGAGTTGTCTATCGTCACCAAGGCAAGTACGATCAGGCTGTGGATATGTATGGCAAGTCACTGCAAATTCGATTGCAAGTCCATGGCCACAATCATCCCGATGTTGCGTGGCCATATAACAACATAGGAGTTGTCTATCATCACCAAGGCAAGTACGATCAGGCTGCGGATATGTATGACAAGTCACTGCAAATTCGATTGTCAGTCCTTGGTCATAATCATCCCCATGTTGCCAACTCATATAACAACATAGGAGCTGTCTAAGTGTCTATCATCACCAAGGCAAGTACGATCAGGCTATGGATAACTTTAACAAGTCACTCGATATCGCAACCTTAAGCGGAAATGATCGCCTAGTTACAAGGACCAAAAAGAATATCGAAATCACTCTCCAGAAGCAGAAATCGTCGACATCAATAGATGTCTATGAGCACCAAGGCAAGTACGATCAGGCTGTGAATATGCATGAGGATTATAAATAAATGTGCATGTTTTCATTGTAATGATTTTATAGTGTGTCACTAAAAAAAAAAAAATATTTGATAAGATGATATCTTATGGAGTAATTTATATCGCTTAATTTATTTTGTTAAGTGAAGGGATGTTATGTATGTAAGAATACAGTAACCTGTTGTACTGCACCTAACGTGTTAGCATAAGTTAAGGTATAATACATTATCACGGCTATACTATTTAAATGCAGTAAATCCTAAATAAAAGAGACTTTTAGTAAGCTTACTAGGAGGAGTGTATCAAAGTCTCTCGTGCTTACGTTAACGACTAAGAGTGGAAACACAACGGATAACAGCTGCTTTAATATAAGAAAAGTGAATGGCTGAACATGTTGTTGTTATTAATGTTCTTCTATTACTTTTGAGCCAGATAACAATCTTAGATCAGGAAAAAGAAAAAAGAATCCAGCGAAATGTCATTTATTTCCAGGAATGCATCCAGGTTAATTTTGTTTTGATTGGAGATAGGAGTGCAGTTTTCGACAGTATCTTTCTATCCACAACCTTTTCTCTCTAAATTGTAGTCCCATTATGTAATGACAGAGCTATTCTATTTATTAGTGCATTAAAATCGAAGAGTACTGTTAACTAGAAAAAACGCAGGCATAGGAGAACATTTCTTGTCATTGACAGTACTATCTAAATCATCAATTTCATTTCTATTCTTATATAACGTCAACTATCGCAACAGCCAAAGCTGGCTATCCAAAGGTATCGAATAACTGTCAAGTTAATCAAGATCATGATTTAACCTTGCCTGAAGTACCTGGATTAAAATTTCATCTTCCAGCTCAGTGTATAACAACCGAAGCCGCCCTAACCATGACTGTATACTATGCAGATCCACCTTATAATCAAGGTTTACCAATTCCGAAAGATGCTGATGGTAAACACTTTATCCAGTTATCGCCAATCGTTTGCCTCGAGCCTGATGGGTATCAATTTACCCCTAATAGCACAAGGAAAGCTTTACTTCAAGTCCCCGTTCCATATATCAACCAGATAGTTACACTTAAGAAAAATAACAACTTTAATACCCCAATAAAAATCATTTGTCGAAGCTATGGAGGTGTGAAGTGGGAACAGCAAGATGTAGAGTATGAATATAGCCGCGATAAAAATGGATATTATTGCCTTACTTTTGCAGTAAGCCATTTCTCTGACTATGTCGTCTATTCCTACGTCAAATCTACCATTTATTCAATCCGCAAGTATATCTTTCCATCTCACCAGCAACAAATTAAAACGTTAGCTTTCCTATCCGAAATAGACACAAGTGATGATACCGTCCATATGAAATTAATCTTATCTAAAAAAGATGAAGATGAAACTGCTATCGTGTCAGCATTCGATCAGACATTTATTAGGATACGTTTAGCTACGACTGGACTTGAAAATACTATTCTAGATAATGGTCTATACTTCGCTATATTTGAGAAACGAGGTTTAGATTATCCTGAAGGTTATTTAAAGCCAAAGAAAGTTACTATCAATTAGAATGAGTTTAGCTATCATGCTATCCATTACTTTTGCAAGGTTATCGATAAAGCAGCTATTGATATAGCTCAAATCTTTCTACAGCCTCAAGACCAGAAGCAAGACACCAATGAAAAGGCTTGCTACTTGAGGAGAGTAAATTCCAACGAGGTAAATGAACAATATCTATAATCAACCTTGAAGTTGTGAAGTATATAGACTCTGTTTAATTTACTAAGTAAAGTTTGTCATGTTTGGCAGCCCAACCCATCAAAGCGGTCTGATCCAGAAAAGCTGCCTGTTCTACCCACTAAAGATCATTCAGCATTACCAGATGGTAATTTTGCAATAGCGTAAACAATAGTTGATTATTATCAAGAATTATGTGATGTAATACTTTCAGCTACGTTTGTCACTGATGATATGATCGCATACAGTTTTACTAGATGATGATATCACCAACGAATTTTTTAAGATCGTCATTAGAATATTTAGCTACTAGTAAGCTACTTTTAAGCTTTTTTTTTACGTTTATTATTCATAATTATAGTAATTAATTTGCCCATTTAATCATAATAGTGACCAGAAGTGATTATTATGTATGATATTATCGCACAAAGTTCTGTTAGCTAATTAGAATACCAACGAATATTTCAGATTATAATTAGAACATATAAACTACTACTCCACTACTTTACTTGCGAGTATCCAACAATAAGTAAAATGAATTAGGTTAAATTAAAACAAATGTATCCACATTTAAATTATTGAGTCATATTGATGTACACAGCTGGGTATGCGGGTTCGGCTAGTCCATGATAAGATAATTTCAATTTGTAATTTTAAGATGACGTATGTGGTAATATATTCATTCGTGCCTTATAGATCCTGGAAACTATTTTCACTCGATCGCTAGTTGTGTTGGTGTAGACTGGATAAAATTAGCAACAGTCCTAGATCCAACGATTGATACTGAGGTTATCGAAGCAAAACATCGTGGCCATACCTATAACAGTGCTATCCAATTGCTTCATCAGTGGTACAGAAGGAAATACCCAGAAGCTACCCTTATTCTATTGCGAAACGCTTTGGAAACGATTAACAGAAATGATATTATTATCCCAAACGAACAAAATTCCTAGAGGACTAATCTTCTTTCGTCTACTATAGTGTAGATTCTAATTTATTGATGGTCTATTTGTGCTTATTTGCATTTTTTCAAGATCAAAATAAATAGCATTATAAGAAAATAATGTTTTATTTCGCCTTGGTTGAAATAAACCAACAATTTAATGGATAATATTAGCAATGCTCAATGTTATCGATTTCAATTTTTCAGCTTCGCCATCACAATCACGTTTTGTGTAAGAATCTGCTGATGTAAAAATTAAGTTTTTAACATTTTATTCCTGTGCACAACGAAATTGCAACATTATAAGCATCATAAATTTACTTTAAATACTTATGGAGCACTTACAAATTGCTGGTGAAGGATAAAACATTTGTAATTGTAAAGCATTCTAAAGCGTTTGTTAATTACGGTTTCTATTCATTTTTGCTTGTACTAATCGTGAGTTAAACTTGTTAATGCTATACTATTTTATGCAAAGTGACGTTGTTTCAGACGGTAAAATTAACCTACTTTATGATAAGTTATAAAGATCCTGACAATAAAGAAATCGTTTGCTATAATGAATTGTAAGAAGAGCTAGTTAATTGCCAGTTATCGACTGTGAATAGCTTCTAGTCATGATTGCTACGAAGTACGAAATTAAGACGAAATTGCTTTACTGTATTTGATCTTTCCATCTCGCTCCAGGCTTGTCCTGCCAATTTGTACGACATTTCATCAAGACAGTATGAGCTAAAACGAGCAAAAGACTCTTGAATAATTTGAGTCAATGGAAGATCAAATGAATAAAACCAAGTAGAGTCCGTCTATGGTTCGTTTAAAATTGCACCATCGGTACCTTTCCTGTAATCGTCGAGCGCCACTGCTCATGGAGCGGGTACAATCTTTGTGGCTATTACCCAAGTTTGACAAGCTACTCTAGTACTCCTCATGGAGAAATTGATTAGTCTTGTACAGTAAACGGACTGTTTATAAGCTAGAATACATTAGTGTACTGCATCAAATCGCAGTTTCGATAGCATATCAGCTTCCACGAGAATGCTCCTGTCTTGATTATTTTAGACGAGTTAGTACTTGGTACAAGATGGTAGTACTGTACAGCTAGTGCACCTGTAAAATGTCATCACCTGTTTTAACCAGAGTTGAGCAAGTTACCCTGATGTTAACAGTTAACCGCTCAATATTGGTTTTGAACTTATTGCATTGGTATCAACTTCATGTAGAAACAGTTTAGGAAGCTTTAAGAAGTAGTTTACTTAAAATTACATAGTACAGCGTGGAGACTGTCCAAGATTGGTATATTATTTTGACTAGGAATAATTTGTGAGCATGCACGTATAGCATAGACTTGGTAATTCTCCTCCATGTAGTTGATGAAAGTACCAACCATGTCCATTTTAGCTCTATCGTCTGAAGCCAACATTAGCGTGCCTTGGGCATCAATGTTAAAGTAGCGTAAATTAGTGCATACGAGAAATAAGCGTAGATGATTCTTTTAATGTTGCATCTTTTAGCCTCCTTGAATTAGTATAAAGATTGTTCTTCCGATGGCAGAAATTACTGTTGGCCACTGTTTTATTGGTGATCATCATCGACGATGAGTCCAATAACTAAGCCATCTTGCTGAATCGCTTGATATCATCTTCATCGTGCGCTACTGTATTCCGTTGATTTTTTACTGTCATTTGTCAAACAGTTTATAAAAGTATACTAAAAATTTTCTTTAAATGGTGTATATTAACAACTCATTGATTGTTAATTATTGAATAAAATTAAGGTAGTAATCATATGGAATTGCTATGGATTGCAGTACTTCCAGTATGTATGAAGGGTTACATCTTGTATCGATAGCATGCAATTTGCAATCAGGCCAAACAGTACTCACGCCAACCCTGTCAGGAGATTTTAATTTGATCTT